GGGGGGGGGGGGGGGGGGCCCCCCCCCCCCCCCCCCCCCCCGATGAGCCGAGGCTTTGCAGGCATGAGGTGGGCATGCCCCTGGATTGGAGCGGGGTGTGCGGTGGAGCAGGGGCTACATGGGGGCTGCAGCCATCTGAGAATTTGCCGTAGCCCCTGCCACCCACTCGAAGTGCAGGGCTGTGCAGCCCTGGCCCCACCCCTTGCAGATCCAGGGGTGCATGCCCCCCCCATTCCTTCCTGGACAAGTGGCAGGAGCAGTCGTGGGAACTGCTGATTGAGCTGCCAGACAAGCAGTGTGCAGCTGCAGGAGCCGCTGCCCTCCCACTCCCTGCATGCGCCTGCTCCCAGCTGGGCAATGCTTGCCTCAGTCCCTTCATCACTGCAGGGGGTGTTGATCAGCCCCTTCCCCCTCCCCTTCCACCACTTACCAGCTGCATGCATATTGACCATTATAACAACAAAACCCACTTCGGAACATCGAAATGGGGTGTCAATTTATAAACATCACAAGTAAGTTCCTCACAACTCAAAGTCGTAAGTTGAGGACTGCCTGTAAACATAAAGTATGAATTAATTGCCATTAGCCCATTCAACAGAAAGTAACTTTTATATTCACATGTGGTCATTCAACACATTTACAGATACCACAATACCTATTACAACGATAATGTAGTAATAGGTAAATTTAACTTTCAGTGATTTGCAGCTTGAAGTGCTGTACTGATGGTTCTTAAAATTGGCATGCAAAATGAGGAGCAGTAGTACACCTTTATTTTTCCTTTTGCTTTAAAATAGCAGGGTTTTTTTTCCTTGTTGTTTACAGTGCCTGGGGAATTCAGAGAAATCATAACTTCTTGAGAGAATACTGAGCAATTGACAGTAAAGGAATTTTTAGTTATTATTTTCAACTATTGATTTCCAATTTTCACATTTAGGGAGAAGTCTGTGTTGAACTAATTTTAAGCAACATGAATTGTCTATGACCTCTTGATAATAAGACCACTCTAGTATAAAAGTTTGTGACATGTAAAAATGTATAATATGGTGGAATATGTAAGCTTCTTTTAGAAGTTAACATGTCTTGGGGATAGTACTAAAGAGTAATTGCACTCTAACTCTACAAAAAATTAATTTGTGTAATTGGCAAGGCTGAAGTACCTGGTGTCAAAATACCAGGATTTTCAGTGTCTGCAAAAGTGAAAATATAGCTTATTTTAGCTAGCACTGCTACTGTAAGAATCAATTTCATTAGTCAGGTCTAAGAAGACAAGCAATTGTCCTGCTGGAAAGAGAAAACAGCAAAAGTTGTCAGAATGCCCATATGATAGAAATGGAAATGACAGTATTCTGAG